ATTTTCCTCCCCCAAAATTAAGCCCGACCACATAGTTTCGTAGCGAAGAACTGGCATAGAGCTAGTAGATAAGAGATAGATAGATGAGAGAGGTAATAGAGAGATGCATAGAGATAGATAGATGAGAGAGAGAGATAATACGATGGATAGAGATAGATGAGAGAAAGGGGTGGTATCCTTTTAAGATTAGATAAATGGACTGATTAGTTGATTCTTGGGGTGGGTATTAGGGTTGAGGTTGGGGAGAAGCCATGATGGATCCCATGCCAGTCACCCACAAATCTCTCTCTCTCTCTCTTGGTTGGATGGCTCTGATTTTTTGTTTTCTTTTAGATTTGTTAAGCAATCAGACATCCACCCCTGCTCTTTTGTTCTACTTCCATTTCCTGTTCCCTGGCTTGAGACCGAGCTCATTCCGATGCTTCTGGTTTCCAGGAGCTGCCCCCGTCGTCTGTCATCCATTATTCAGCCTATCCGCCAAAGCACCATTCTGCTCTTCCAGTTTTTCACACCGGTTCCAGCAGTCGGGGCTGCAAAATCCCTAGACCAGAGAGCTGAAAGTGTGCTGCTGTGTGTGTGTGTGTGTGTAAAATGCTTCTGCTCACAATACGCATAAATCCTGTGGTTTTCTGTTCCATTTTCGTTTATTGAAGGGTGGTCAGTTCAACATTGATGATATTCCCTAGTTGGGTCCTGAAACGTCTGCAAGAAAACAACCCCACTCGGAGAGCACCTCAGTTCAACCCTGAGCTACAAATAAATCTCCTTTATATGGGGAGATAATTACTGGGAGAGTTATTCATTTTGTTTGTTTGTTTTACAAACCTAGGTGTTCGCGTTGAGTTGAGAGAACTCAAAATACATTACGTCCTCCCATCAGAGCTGTTTTTAAATGTTAAAAGAATTCCGCAGTGGTGTGGAATATTCCCTATTTCACGGAGGTCTATTATTTGCAAAGAAAATAGAGAAAAGGGCCACGATTGCAAAAAAAAAAAAAAGAGGGAACCAAAGAATGGAACTCAAACACATGCTCTCTGGTTTTGGAGATTCTGGATAGTTTTGTGCAACAACGGCAGAAACATGGAGGCCGTGTTGGTTTCGGTGTACGTTCCTCATAACTGCAGCTTTCAGCTTTTAATTTCTTCAAATATAGACTTCCAACAGTTTAGTGTCTGTTGAAAGCTACAATGGCACTGAAATACCTGACAAGCCAAATGTCAACTCATAAAACATTCCTATGCCTGTTTTATTTAGTTGCCATATATAAAAAAAAAGGGGGGGGGGAGGAAATTTGGAAGAGCAGTGCAGCAGTTTGGAAGCAGAAGTACATTCCAACTCTATATCTTTAAAAGATTGTAACTAATATACCAGAGCTTTTGCCCGGGAATATATTTAATAGGAGAACACCAGCGTGAAGGTGCTCAATGGGAGAATCTGGTTTGTGAGACACCCAGGGTGGAGGGGGGAAACAGGGTCCCAGGGGACTGGAAATGACGTAGGCCAGGGTTGGCTTCATACAGGGCAGGGCCAGGATGTCACCTCTAATGAATCCTTTGAAGCTTTTTGAAGTTTGGCTTGAGAATCATTTCATTAGGGCGATTGCTGGAATCCTGACAGTGAGTCAGTGGGGCAGCTGGATTCTCTTAACAGCCAGGTTACCAACTTATCAGCGGCAGTGTTTCACTTAACAATGGAGGCAAGAAAGGTGGTAAACAGTCACTGAACCAAGTGCTTGACTTTGCAACAGAAACCGGGGGCTCAGTTGTGGCCGTAACACGAGGACCATCTGTATTATAAGAATTTCTTTGTAGGTCCAGTGTCAGCCTCTCCTGGGTGCTGGAGAGTCAGCGAACAAACCACTTTACTCCCAGGCTTGTAGGTGAATTTCAAAGGTTTCGAAGGAGCCAGAAATGGAAATGTGGGGGTACACAGGTAGTCTGCAGGTTATGACCGTAATTGAGCCTGTCATTAATTGGGTCGTTAGGTGGCCCCGCCTGATTTTAATGCCTTTTTTGTCGTACAGGTTACTTGTCATGTAACAAGTATGTACTCGCAGTCATTAAAGCAAACTCATTTTACATCTGGTGGGTGATATATAGGAGAATATTCAAATGCTTATGTAAATTGTAGCCTTCCTGGAAAAATTGGTTTTTAGGAAATTATTTCTTTGTCTTCTGTTTACGTCTTTCTTACTCTGCTTTGTGGTTTGTATAGTTGTTCCTCGACTTAAAAACATTGGTTTAGGGACTGTTCGAATTTACAACGCCACTGAAAAAAGTTTTTTCACACTTAACGACCGATTGCAGCATCCCCACAGTCACATGATCAAAATTCAGCCACTTGGCAACCGTCACATGTTCACGACGGTCGCAGCGTCCTGGGGTCACATAATCCCCTTTTGCGACTTTCCGACGAGCAAAAGCCCACGGGGAAGCCACATTCACTTTACAACCATGTTGCTAACTGCAGCGATTCACTTAATGACTGTTGTAAAATGGGGGAAGGTTTTCACTTAGCGACAAAAATTTTGGACTCAGTTGCATTCATTTTTACAGCATAGGCCTTCAAACTTGGCAACTTTAAGACTTGTGGACTTCAAATCCCAGGATTCCCGAGCTAACATGACTGGAGGAGGAATTCTGGGAGTTGAAGTCCACAAGTCTTAAAGCTATCAAGTTTGAAGACCGCTGATTTACAGGGTTAACTGTAAAAGTTAGACCTGATCCAGCCTTGATTTTTAGCAACATAGCTTAAGGCAGGGGTCCCCAACCCCAACCCCCCCAGGCTGTAGCCCACCCCCGGGCCTTGAACCATTTGAAACCGGGCCAAGGAAGGGGTGGGCGAGTGCATTTTTACCCATCCCCACTTGCATGAACAGCGGTCGAGCGCAGGCATGAGTGGTGGGGTGCCTTTGCAATATCCTCTCCTCCCCTGGGCAGCAAAGCTGAAAAAGGTTGTGGGACTCACTTGAGACTTTCAAGAAGAGATCGGATTCTGCCATTTGTCAGAAACGGTGTAGGGTCTCCTGCTTAGGCAGGGGGGGGGGGTTGGACTAGATGACCTACAAGGTCCCTTCCAGCTTTGTTACAATCTGTAAACCTGTGCAGATCGCCTCGTCCTCACTGTGGATCGTGCCATAAACGAGAGCGATCCTTTTGGAGAACAGAAAGTGGGTCGTTGGTGCTCAGAAAAACCTCTCGTCCTGCCCTCAAAGCACGCCAGATCCGTGCGGCTCACGAGGGGGGAAAAAAACAACAACCACAGAACATTTTGCACATCCCCGCTGAAGCTTCCCTATGGTTTGGAATGTCCCAGCCACCGAGTACGATGTGCTGCCAACATTAAGTTTAAATTAGACTTCGCACACTTCGCTAGAGCTCTGGCTTATGGCGAAGCCGGAAGGGAAGAAGTGTCCATGCTGACTAGAGATAGGGATGAGTAAAATGCCCAGCTCTGGGGGGGGGGGGGGGGGGGGGGTCAAGGCCTCAAAGCCTTACTATCTTGTCCCTTTGTGCCAGGGGGTAACACAATTATTGCAGTTCCTGCGTAGCGCAGGGAGGGTCAAACTTCAAATATTCTATTTATGTAACTCAATGCTAATCTTTATTCGGTCAGAGACCAGGGTGTAGAATTCCTGTGCAGAAATGACAGAATACAGATAATGATAATAAAATGCAAAAGAAAGGGGAGAGAGAGAGAGAGAACCTACGTGTATGTATGTATATATGTGTGCATGGATATGTGTGTATGGATATGTATATGCCTGTGTCTGTATACCTACCTACCTACTTATGTCTGTCTATCTACCTACCTATCTACATCTGTGTCTTAGCTACCTACTTACATCGTATCTATATTTATCTACATCTGTCTTCTCACTGTGTCTGTCTTTCCATATCTATCTGATCTATTATCTCTCATATCTATCTATTATCTCTTTCATCTATACCTGTCTATGTTATATCTGTCTATCTCTTAATTTATCTTTCATCTATATCTATATCTAATCTATTATCTCTCTCAATCTTTCATATCTATTATCTCTTTCATCTATATCTATGTTATATCTGTCTTTCTCTTAATCTATCTTTCTCTCATCTATATATCTAATCTATTATCTGTCTCTCTTAATCTTTTATCTCTCTCTCATATATATCTATTATCTCTTTCATCTATATCTGTTATATCTGTCTTAATCTATCTTTCATCTATATATCTAATCTATTATCTCTCTCTCCCTCTCTTAATCTATTATCTTTCTCTTCTCTTCTCTTCTCTTCTCTTCTCTTCTCTTCTCTTCTCTT